CCTGAGAGACTCTTACGTAACTTACGTGCGGCCCCCAAAATCGAAAAAGAAATGGCAAGAGGATATGCCTCCGGGAAAGCCGTCTACGATCAGTGCTCTGCGCCGTTTTCGATTGAAAATTTTTGAGAATGGAGCGCTTTGCCCCAATTTTAGCCCAATCCCAAGTTGTGCTTTGCCCTTCCACCTCCATCTCCAGCTACATGCATGTGATGGATCTCCTAACCCCCTTCTTTTTTCACCTTAATTTTATTCGACTAAAAATGAGCAAATAATGAATGACAAGCGTTTATTACATAAATATCCGAAAACAGATATCACGACTTTCATTTGCAATTAGAGGGAATTGAGAAACTCTTAAATGACCGACTCACTTTTTCTACACGAACGACTAACATGGACTAAAATGACCCGTATTTAGGTATAGGTACCATTGGTTTTGACAAATTCCGCTCTTCTCTAGAGGTTTAAAAGCATTTTCTTATTATTAAGAGTAAGTATAAATGTAAAATTATGCTGTAAATCCTTTAAGGGTGTCATATTATCAGGTCCGCACAAAATATTTACTCCACGCAGCCCTATATGCAGCGTACTGGCTGTTAGAAAATATCAAACCTCGGATCAATTTGACCCATGTCAGTCATCTATAGCGGGTTAAAGAAAGAAAAAAACCGGAAATTTTCTGTAAGGAATAACCAGAGCCGGTGCGCAAACTTTTGGCACCTGGGGCAAGGATGTTTTCGGCACCCCCTGCTCCCCACCCCCGGAGTGGAAGTTGGGAGGAGGGAGGGAGGGTAGGGTTCCCAGGAAATTTTCAATTTTAAGAGGGCAATCTAACCACGTTTTAGCTCGGTATCTATTGATACAACATAAAATTTTTATTTCCTTAGTTTTCTATGAATTTTTCCTTTCCTATTATTAAATAAAACAATTTTTTTTTTGGGGGGGGGGGCAAAACCTGTGAATCTCGATTTAAAGATATCGAGATCCGGTTTGGGCGAAAAATCGTCTAAAATTGCATAAGTACTTCAAGATTCCAAAGGTTAAAATTCCGATATCACATTTTCAAGTTAACATACCTGCTATGTGCTTTTTTTCAGTTTTTGAGTTGAGAAAATTTCTTTTAAACACAAAATTCACAAGGTTTTCATTTTTTTAATTAAATCAAAACCAGTTTTTTTAAATTGTTCGTCTTTTTTGGCATCCAACGAGTGGTCCATTAGGCTTGGGGAAATAAACAGTTCCGGAGATGTTAGACCGTGGGCCAGCAAGGGGTAACCCTGCCCCCCCCCCCCCCCCCCCCCCCCCCCCCCCCCCCCCCCCCCCCCCCCCCCCCCCCCCCCCCCCCCCCCCCCCCCCCCCCCCCCCCCCCCCCCCCCCCCC